CCGCGGGGAGGCCGCGCCGCCCGGCCTCGTGGACCCCGCGCCCTGGGTGTGCACGGCTCGTCTCCGTGTCTGGAGTCGCCCGCCCCATGCCCAGTCCTCCCGCGGCTCTGGGGCTCTCAGGGTGACACGCGTGTTCCCAGCCGAGGCCCTGTTCGAGGAGGGGGCAGAGGGCCGCAGCCCGTGACCGGAAGGAGCCGAGGCTGCACCTGGGGCCGAGGGGGAGGAATGGATCCTGGAAGGGGGCAGCCGACTGCACTCCCCCGGCCTCCGGGACCAGGGGAGAGGGCTACAGCCGCAGGCCGGCCTGACACTTGGCCGGATGCCTGCCCTCCAATGCCTGCCTTCCGACACTGGCCTGACACCTGCTCTCAGACACCTGTCCTCCAACACCTGCCCTCCGACACTGGCGTGACACCTGGCCAATCCCTGGCCAGCCTGACACCTGCCTGACATCTGTCCTCCAACGCCTGCCCAACACTTGCCCTCCAAGGGCCTGAGGCCTGCCCTCCACACCTCTCTGACGGCCTGACACCAGCCTGCCAGCCTCTGCCGCCACCCCAGCTGGCTTTGTTGGAGCTCAGCCCTTGGCTCTTCCTGGGGCTGTGATAGACCTCAATTCAGTACTGCTGTGATAGACCTCAACTCAGTACAGCTGTGATAGTATGGCTGTGATAGACTTCAATTCAGTATGGCTGTGATAGACCTCAACTCAGTACAGCTGTGATAGTACTGCTGTGGTAGACCTCAACTCAGTACAGCTGCAATAGGCCTCAGGGTGTCAGTGGCTTCAGCACAGTTTGTGGTGAACTGCAAAGCTGCCAGCTTGGTAAACTTGAGAGAGAGAGAGCGATGTTGTGCTTTTTAGCAAGGATGGAAAGGTGTGAGGCTGACTGCTGGTCAGTCTAGGTTCTCTTCACCAAGAGGTTTTGCCCTTTATCAATAATTTTGTTCTGTTTTCTGATTTCACATTTCATTCAAGATTTTTTTTTTTTAGGATAATGAGGTAAATGCCTTCCTGTTGATTTCATCCCTTCTGCTTGCCCCATTATCACACTTTTTAAGATCATCATAATACAAATATTTAAGTGGTACTGACAGGCATTATGTTAAGCACTTTGCATATTTTAAAGCGTTTGAATCCTCAGTATTGAGGTTAGTATTCGTATTAATGTTTCAGTTTTCAAATGAGCAAAATGAATCATGAAGCTAAGGAAAGGGTAAGAAGAGGTCTTATAGACTGAGTAATATATTCTGTGGGCATTAGGGTTTGGGGGTTGTTTGTAGGCTAGGTAGTACAAGTCCTGTTGTGATTACCCCTACATGGCAGAAGTTTCTCAGAGCATCAGCTCTCTATGGCCGACAGACCCTTGAGGAGGAACCCTGTGGCACTCTTCAAGCATCTTCAAGGCCGTTCCCCCTTCACCTGCATGTCTGTGGGAAGCGACATCTTCATATCCATCAACCAAAACAGCATCCGAAGAGTGAATTCAGAACCAGATAGTAGAGTAGGATCAGTGTAGAATGATCCCAAGAAAAAAATGTGTGAGAGGCAATTCCTGAATATATCTGCAGCTCAATATAGGTTGTTGGATGTGCATGGTGTTTTAGGCCCCATCATCTTCAAAAATGAGGGAAGGAAAACTGTGCGGTAACCACATCTGCAAGGGCCTTTGCAACTCTACTTACTAATGCTTAATTGTTTCCCAAGAGACTGGGACCTACGCACATTCCCACCAGCAGTCTTGTCTTGGTGTTGACACTTGACTTGGAGCTCCGTGCTCTTTGGGCTTTTTTACTCACAGCTAGCACGCTAGTGTGTGTGCTGTGCCTTCAAGCCTATCTTTTTTTTTTTTTTGCTGGTTAATTGGAGATGGAATCTCAAAGATTTTCCTGTCCTGGCTGGCTTCAAACCTCAATCCTTCAGGTCTCAGCCTCCAGAGCTGTTACAATTACAGATGTGAGCCAGAACCACCAGCACCAAACTTTGTGTCTTTAGTGGGTGGAACTGTCCCTCATAACTTTGGGGATAGACTATGAAATGGTACCTACACCAACTAGGCTTCCCACAACCAATTCACTTCAGAACTTGCCAACCCCAGTTAGGAGAATCACAGTCTCACAGGACTTCGCTCCTTCAGTGATCAGCCGAGTCCTGAATTTCTGTCCAGCTGTTTACAGATTAGGTTGAGTCATTTTCTAGAGTGACTCAGTGTTAGGGGTTTATTGTAGTGGGTATAACCCAAGCAAGGCTTTCACGTACTCTCCAGCATATCACCTGAGCATTTTAGTTTGTCAATCCAGAAGCTTCTCCAAACTTTCTTCTTAAGGAGTTTTCGTTGCAGCCTCATAAGATAGTGTTGTGGATACATTATTATCTGTTGGTGATTGGACTGGCACTTCCCTCCTTGAGGTCAGTGATGAAGTCAATTTCAAAATGGATTTCAACCATTTTATTACTAGCCAAACATAATCCTAACTACACTAGAGGCTGAGATCTGAGGATCACAGTTTGAAACCACACCAGGCAGGAAAGTTTGAGACACCTCCAATTAACCATCAAGAAAGCCAGAAGAGGAGCTGTGGCTCAAGTGGTAAAATGTTTGCCCTTTTAGATATCCCTGCTACTTAAGACATTCCAGGAGTTTTTGAATCTGTGTCTAGAGTCGGGGACAGAAGACAAAATTTTTATTATAGCACAGGACATGTGTTAATGTGTCATGTAGTGGTAGTGTTGCAGATAGATAGGGTCATCAGGGACAGCCTCAGAGACAGACCAGAGTGCCTTTTCCAGGCAGAGTAAACATAACAAATGAAAATAAAGGGGATCGGTGCTTGTTAAGAAAGGCAAGGCATGTAAGCATGCCTTCAGTTTTATACTGTCTGTCATGGGACTATGTTTAGGCAAACAAACAAGGCTTCAAAAGTTGCATTTCTTTACAGTAAACAACTGGGCTGTATAGTCAGTAGGCTAATTTTTTGTTGTCTTGTGGATGACAGTCTAGTATTTAGTCGTAACTACTTTTGGTTCCCTTGTTTGAGAGGTAATTTCTGTGCTTTTATTTTTCAGAACATCATAGCTCAGCCATCAAGATCTAATGGAAGTGTGGTTCACCATTCTTCATCTCCATATGTGCTGTACCCACCTGACAAGCCTTTCCTTAACAGTGATCTGCGACGCTCTCCGCATAAGCCCACACTTGCCTATCCAGAGAGCAACAGCAGAGGTGACAACCCTGAATAGATGTTGTCTGTGTTTACCTGCTGCTTTACACTTCATCTCTCCACTACTTTAGTCACGTGTTTGGTTTGGTTTTTTGGTTTGCTTTTGTAAAAAGTCCAAGGGCCTTGCTCTTGCTGGTCAGGTGTGTGCCACTGAGCCTCACCTGCAGCCTCATCCTCCATTGTTTTGACATTTAGAGACTATCTCCCCATTCTGTTTTTGGCCTTCTCAACGTAGGCTTTTCTTTTGCTCTTTATATTGATGGTTGAACATCATCATCCACAAAAATCAGGACAGTAGCATACTTGCACCCCACTAGTGACTGATTTGTCATCCTCAACATCTGTTAGGAATCATGCCTGGGTTTTGGCTACAACAGTATCTCAAAAGTATCTGTTTCAAAAGTATATGTTCTCGTTGCTTTGGTTTAGGTTCTTCTCTTACCTGTATGTCGATTATATTCTAACTAATCTTGCCCAGTCTCATTCTTTTTTTTTTTTTTTTTGGGTCCGGTCGTGGGGCCTGAACTCTGGGCCTGGACGCTGTCCCTCAGCTCTTCAGATCAAGGCTAGCGCTCTACCACTTGAGCCACAGCGCCACTTCTGGCTTTTTTCTTTTGCTTATGTGGTGCTGAGGAATGGAACCCAGGGCCTCAGGCATGCAAGGCAAGCGCTCTACCACTGAGCCACCTTCCCAGCCCCCCCCCAGTCTCATTCTTAATCTCATTTAATATTCTTTTGTCTCATTTTTTATCTCCACTTAACATTCTTTCCTCTTTCACTGAAAGTTTCAACACTCTTCCATAGATTTTTCCATATAAATCAGACCCTATCTGCCTCAATAACTACATCCTTAATCTCTCATCTACAACTCTTTGGCTATTGTGAAATATACTGTTAGTAGAACTTGCCATCTATATTAGTTTTCTTTCTGCCTTAACAAAATACTACAGTGATTTTAAGCAATACAAACTTCTTGTGTTACAGTAAATCAGAATGTGTTCATCTTGGTCCCTAGCATGGGATCCTGCAGGTTTGAAATCAAGCTGGTAACTGGAGCTGTGTTTGTTTTGTTTTTTGCTAGTCCTGGGGCTTGAACTCAGAGCCTTGGCACTGTTTCTGAGCTTCTTTGTCTCAAGGCTAGCACTCTACCACTTGAGCCACAGTGCCACTTGTGATTTTTTTCTGTGTGGTCCTGAGGAATAGAACTTAGGGCTTCATGCATGCTAGACAGGCACTCTCCCACTGAGCCACACTCGCAGCCCTGGGCTGTGTTCTTTCCTGGAGGTCCTAGGGTAGTTACATTTGCACCTCACTCAGACCGTTGGTCAGTTCCATTGCTTGTTGGTAATGTTGGAGGTTCCATTTCTATAGTCCGTCAGAGTCAGCCTTTTCTCCCACAGATCCTCCACGTTCCTTCTCATGGTTTCCAGCTGTCCCCTAAGGCAGCAGTGAGTTAGAGCTCTCCTGTGCTTAGTCGCTCAGACTTCTCTAACAAGAATTGGTGAGAAGTTTCTTCTCATAGGATGAAAGTGGCGAATTCACATAGTTAGGAATAATGTCAGCATTTGAAGGTCTGTCCATTTAAAAGTCCTTATTGCCGTCTTACATAATGCATTCATCAGAGACTACAAAGGTTAGGTGTGGACATCTTTGAGTTTCTCTTCTGCCCACCTGAATACCATTCACTTCAAGTCTGCAAGCCTTTCACACACTATACTCTCTTGTTGAAATTTTCTTCTTGAAAAATTGTTCTTTAAAGTAAGATCTGTATCAGCCAGATTTGTTGTAAAGGAAGAGGAATAAATAGTTTAAGGTTTGTTAAGTTCCTGGCAGCCAGTGGCTCATGCTTATTATCATAGCAGTGAGGAGGCTGAGCTCTGAGGGTCATGGTTCAGGGCTAGGCCAGGCAGGAATGTCTGTGAGACTCTGATCTCCACTGAACTACCAAAACAGCCAAAAGTGGAGTTGTGGACCAAATGGTAGAGCGTTGGCTTTGAGCAGAAAAGCATGGGGACATCACCCAACCTGAGTTCAAACCCCAGGATTGGTATAAAACAAAAACTTAAAAAAAAATACAAAGTATAAGAAGAAACTTCTGGGCAAACAGTTCAGAAGATGTATACTATAATGTAAAATACTGAAAAAAAAACCCCACATATACAACCCTCAGTGGCTCAAAAGAAGTTAAGCTCAGACATTGACGTTAGACATTTCACATTACATCTGTGCTCTGTTGGCGTTTGAAACTAGGTCTTTACCTGGAGCACAGGCTGTCCAGGACAGCCTATTTTCTTGCCTAAGCATCCCAGATGCTAGGAATGCACGTCCAGCTTAAAATACAGATCTTTTTTTTTTTTTTTTTGATATAGTACATTTTTCAGTTTCTAGAGAAAACTAAACCTTAAAACTGTATGGTATGGTGAGCAAATGCTTAGTGTTTAATAATGTCAAAGTGAAAAGCAATTATATTTTTATTTCATTTTATTTTGTACTTCTAGAAAAAGATTGAAAGACCCAAAACTGATTGTTACTGTCTCTGATAGGATTATTGGTTGTTATGTTCTACATTTCCTGCAATGAATGTGTATCACATCTCACATCAGAATCCTTTAGAGGAGACCTAATCCTAGGCTTTTTTTCTTATATAAAGAAAAAAGTGCAAATTAAAGTCATTTTTATATGTGAGTTTAATTCTACAATTGGAGTCTGCTTGTGATCTTGTATATAGACAGGAAAATATAGTTAATAATGACAGTTATGTATTGTTATGTATGATTAACCAGGTTTTTTTAGTTGCTGTTGCCACTTTAGAATTATCTTTGAAATGTTTTTGTCATAGTAAAGGGTTTTTACTTAAAATAGCTAAAATATTTCAGAGACTCATAGATGTCTCTAAATGGACTTTTTAAAATTACGAGATAATTTACTCTTCTGAAGGAATGATCTTCCACTGGACCTATTCATCACATTTTAAAAATTAATTTTTCATTGAACTTTCCCCATATATACTGTTCTGTTACCTACTTTCTGTTTGGCAGCCATATTTTCAGCTTTGAAGAATCTTCAAGATAAGATTCGACGCTTAGAGCTTGAACGGATTCAGGCAGAAGAAAGTGTGAAAACATTGTCTAGAGAAACAATTGAATATAAGAAAGTACTGGATGAACAGCTACAAGAAAGGGAAAACTCAAAGAATGAAGAGTCAAAGCACAATCAAGGTATGTTTCATCTTGTAAAGGAAATTAAATTTGCCATAAATACTGTAAATTATTCTAATACTCTACCTTGTCATTCTCTATACTATCATTAAGCAAAACAAAATTACGTTGTGTCTGGGTTTGTTGTGAGGAGCAAGTATACACATTGTATTTACTGACTAGCATAACATATAGAAAGAAAATGACTTAGGTAATCTAAACTTACAGGCTAGAGAATGTGTCTTTTATTTCATTTATTTTTTGTGAAAATACCGAATAGAGGGGTTACAATTACATGGGCAAGATAACGAGTACATTTCTTATCAAGCATTGTTGCCTCCTCCTTTGTTTCCCCTTCGCATCCCTTCCCATCCCTCCCACCCCACAGAATGTGTTTTTTATAAGGGAGTCACAGTAGTTCCAAAATCAGTTAACCTGCTGAAACTATTTTATGTGTTGACTTCTGCTTTTCTTAAATATTCTTTTGTAGAGCTGACATCTCAGTTGTTAGCTGCCGAAAATAAATGTAATCTTTTAGAAAAACAATTGGAGTACATGAGGAATATGATTAAGCATGCGGAAATGGAGAGGACCTCAGTCTTAGAGAAGCAGGTATGGTGGTTGACTCATAGATGAGCACTCAAGAATAGACATTCAGAAAATGAATTAAAGACTTTTTTTAGTGAGGATATAATGTTTTTATAATAGTCCAGGTTTGAAAATTCCTTGGGTTATTTATGGTATTGAAGATTTGATTTGATTGGTTCTTAGTTGTGATTATTTGTATATTTGGTAGTGTTTTCCTTAAATTATAGTCTTTTAGGTCTGTGGTATAAAAAAAGCATAGTCCCTCTACAAAGAGGTAAGTGAGACAGCAGTCTTGAAGATTTTTCTTCTTAAAGCTCTTTGCAATAGCTGCTTAACAAAATAGTTTTATTATAGTAGAGATCTTTGTTATTCAGGTAACTTGTACATTTGCAATGAAGATGTTTACAATACATTTTTAAAATAGCTCTGATGTCCCTACTATGGCTCTGTAGAGACTGGCACCAAAAAAAAAAGATTTCCAATGAAGTACAAAAGATAGTGCCCTCCCCATTACATCTTGAGTAATAGATGACCCACTTAAGAAATAATTACGTGGTTACATACATTTTCTGTATGATAATGGCAGGCCAGGCAAGGGTTGCTTTAATCAGCCATCTGGTAGTGTTCCTAGAGCTTTGTCTTAAGTCTTAGGATTCCTCTCTAGATGTATGTAGTTCTCTGAAGGGCCATATAGCATACAATCTATTTTAAGATGTGCTCAGTGTTACTTTTTTATCATGTTATCATTGTGCATTTGATGTATCCCAGGTTTCCCTGGAAAGAGAGCGGCAGCAAGATCAAACACATGTTCAGAACCAGCTTGAAAAGCTGGATCTTCTGGAACAGGAGTATAACAAACTCACCACGATGCAGGCCCTTGCTGAGGTCGGGAGGCGCCTTTTCCTTGTTAATGCGTAATACAAGTGTGCTCATTAAAAAATTAGTTGCCAATAAATATGGTCTTACTGCAAAGAAATAGTAGTTTTTAAAAACTGGAGGGTGTTGCCATTTTACAGTCTGGTAGGCATACAGGGCTTATTTTTTAAGAATAATTGAAGGTTAAATGTCCTTAAGTATCCTTATGGGAGATTTGTTCTCTGAAGTAATTTCATTTTTGTGTTTCATTTGGGATGTATTTAACCACTGACTAGAGTACTAATGTAGGCCTCCTATAACCTGTTGGCCTTTTACAAGCTATGACCTTTGGCCTTACATGTTACCCCTGATTTTGTAGAGCTCACTGACAGACTCTGGGTGACTTAACAGAGAGCAGTCTGAGTACTGTCGAGCCTACCGTCACCGGACTGAATTCACAGACATAGTGACTGTGCTTAAAGTTCATCACTTGTCCCTGTGAGCGCTGTTAAAATTTTACAGACCCTTTTTACTGCTACCCTTTTTGATTCTTCTTTTAGCAAGTGTTAGCAAAGTTTGTTAGAAAAAGAATACATTTGAATAGACAGAGTGGGTGTATCTCTAGCATGAGAATGACAATTATTTTTATTCTGGCAAATTCTTACGTGTAAGGGGCTTGGAGCATTAAGTACCTCTTCACAGTTAGCTGTTAGGACCTAGTCAAAGACTTGAGGCTTATTAATTACAATTTAATATCCTTATCATTAGAAAAAAATGCAAGAGTTGGAAGCAAAACTCCATGAAGAAGAAGAAGAAAGAAAACGTATGCAAGCAAAGGCAGCTGAGGTAAGTTGAATTATGATCAGGTAAGCTCTTAATGTGTTTTACTGCTCTGTGGATATAATTATGAAATTATATTTGACCATCTTAAGTGAATTTACACTTTAGAACAGTCCAGTATACAAGCTCTCAAATGTAATCATCTTCTGTGTGTGTGTGTGTGCACACCGCTGTGTGCATGTATACTAGGACCAGGTTTGTACTCGGGACCACACATTCTCAGTAGGCTTTTTCACTCACGGCCTTGCCTTTAGCTTTGCTTTTTTTTTTTTCTGGTTCATTGGAGATGAGTCCTGAACTAAAGAGCTCAGCCTCGCGGGCAGCTAGAATTCCAGGAGTGAGCCCACTTGTAGCCTTCTATCTTCTCACATGAACACAAGAACAGTCAGGGTGGGGCTCTGCCGTTCTCTGTCCTGGGCTTTCTCAGACATGTCACCACAGAACAGAAACATACCGCATTGTCTCTTCCAGAGCGTCTCTGGTAAACTGATCTCAGTATATTCTCTTTCTGTTAAACTGGATATTTTCTTCTCAAAAACCTAGCTCTGTCAGTTTGTAGAGTTAACGTTTTTTCCCTCTGTGTGCACTCGAGTTACATGGCTGTCATGGCTTTCATTTTGACCTTCAGCAGATTTTCTCTGCCCCTTCTGACTTTGGGGTAGGCTCTTTACTGGGTCTCTTCCTCACTTGGACCAGGCAGATTGAAGGGCTATGCTTTAGATGCACTGCAGTGTTGAGACCAGTGTGTGCAAAATGCCATTGTTAACAAGTTCATTAATTTTTAAAATTAGTTTGTAGTACCTTTGCTTTCTTTTCTACTCAGCAACAGGAACCGAATCAGTTGTTACTGACGCTGTATTACCAGTAAGTATTTGGCATTCAGATGTGCACACTATAGTAGTGGGTTCTGAGTATAGAGGTTTTACTTTGTGTAACCTGGTCAGGTTGTTTAATCATTCAGAACCTGGACTTTGCCATTAATGAAGTGACTCATTTTGTGTCTCAGGGCAATTGGGTAAAATGAAATGGATGATGATGAAGGCACTGTGAAATGTTGAAACTCTGGCACAAGTAGCTGAAAGTTAAGCTAGTCAAAAAGTCATTTGCTTACAGGTTCTGCTCATTGACATCATAAGTTTTCCAGAAAAGTAATTTCCAGACTGTTGCGTTGCACCTATCCAGCTACTTTGTCCAAAGCATTATATGAAGTGTGTCAGAGTGGATGTGGTCCCAAGGGTGGAGATGACTTTAGTCTGCAACAACTTCAAAATCTCATCATATTGTTTTACTTAATTTGATGGTTCTGAGTGTTCCTATTAGCTCCATCATAATTTCCTGAAAATTTAAAATAATTTCTCTAATGTAGAAATTTCAAAACTAGTTTGGAGAGAAATTTGGCAATGTCATTTTTTCCCCCTCAATTTCCATGCAGTTATGATATAGGGCTAGATTTAAAAGAACAACTTAGAGGGCTGGGGATGTGGGCGAGTGCTCGCCTGGCACACATGAAGCAAGCCCTGGCTTCGATTCCTCAGCACCACAAACACAGAAAAGGCTGAAGTGGTGCAGTGGCTCAAGTGGGAGAGCACTAGCTTTGAGCAAAAGCAGCTAGGGACAATGCCCAGACTCTGAGTTCAAGCCCCAGGATTGGCAAAAAAAAGTACTACTTAAGAGACCAGAGTTTCTTTTATCTTTTTGTTTTCTGTTTTTAAAGGAATATGGTCAGTTGGCTTAGGGAAAATTACCTTTTTTTCCCCAATCTTTAGTAATCCATGGTATTTCTAGTGTAAAGATATTTTAAGTTATTATAGTTTGAAAATTTCTAGAGAAAAAAAATAACTTTTGATACCTTTAGATACAGAGTGAAAGGAAAAAGTGTACTTTTCTCTTCAACTGGTGAGAAAATGCCACCCCATTAGTTTGGAGTTGCTGTACATAGCTCATAACTAGAATTCCTTCTTTTTTCTTCTCCTTTCTTCCTTTTTATACCTTCTTCTTTGCTTTGAAACTGGGACTCAAACTTGGTACCTGATGTGTTTTCTCCTTGGCTTGCTCTACCAGCTAAGCCATACTTCCCTTTGCAGGACAGGTACAAGTAGTGCAAGTGTGGGCATCAAGCTGAAGAAAAGACAATTTGATTATAGCAGTTAAAGGTAAAATGAAAGACTAGTATCAATTTAAAATACTACGCATAGGCTCACAGACTGGCAGAAATTGTGGTCATAAAATTAAGATATGTTTCTTAGAAACTACTATACAAGGTTTTCCTTGGCAGATCTCAAATTTGATTTGTAATTTTTATTTTCACAACATTTAACTTTGCACTCTTAACGTTTTTCCTAGTTGCAGACTGGTCTTGAGACAAACAGACTGATCTTTGAAGATAAGGTATCTTCATCTTCATGTGTTCCCAGTACAAAAAAAGTTAAAAAAAAAAAGGCAAAACCAGCAGATAAGGTATGAAAACAGAAGCAGTCACGTCAAATGCTGATTGATTGGTATAGCTTGTGTGAACACTTATGAATGCACTCATGAACCATGTGTACTGTCACCTTGAGTGAACCTCTTTGTTGCTTTACTCAAAAGGACAGTCTTGCTAATGAGATAACACATGGAAGTACTTTGGTGTTACTCAGCAAAGTACCGATGGCCTTTTGCTATTAAAATCCTTTATGATGCTTAATTTTATGTTTCTACTTAGACATAACTGTACTTTCTCAAGAACATTTTCCCCCTAAAGTTCAGGTACTGTTATGAGCGTGATCAAGAGCATAACGCCACTATATATAAGGCACATAGTTTTGTAAGCTGGCATCTTAGTTGTGTACAGAAAAGTTTTGTTAACATGTAAATTTTTTTTTTTTCCAGAAAGGTCCTAGGAACTATTTTGGCACACAACCACATTATAGATTAAGCTTGGGTGATATGCCGTTTGTTGCTGGAAAGGTGAGTGGGTAGAACTCCTACGTGATCTTGTATGATTTCTATATTTGAATTGTGTGTCTGTGCCTGTCACAGTTGACACATTTATCCTTCCCCTTTACCAGTGTGAATCCTAGTGATCTAAGAATGAGATAGAAATGGGGACAGGTTCTATAGGCTTAGGGAAGCAGAATGGAATTGAGAAGGAGACTTCAGAGAGAAAGGGCAGAGTTAAAAAGAAAGAGGTCCTGTTTGTAAAATCAAGGAATGACATGGTATGTATGTGGCAATAAGCCTATGGGTTTATATTTATACACAGTGGACATCTAAATAAATCATACCTACTTACTCTCATCCCAATTGTATCTGAGACTAACTCTCCAAGAAGTCATGACACACATTTCAAGTTCCTTAATTATTACATTAATGGATAATGGTCATGAGTCAAATATCAACAAATGATTTCTAATAGACAATTAACACTGTTAGTTGCTGATTGTTTAATGTTTAGATGTTTTATGTACTTAACCAGATTGTTAAATTTTACCAACCTAGATGGTAAATGTGCTTTTGAAATTAGTTTGTATTTGCTGTGTGTTTATTTTTGTTTTGGGGTCCGGTTGTGGGGCCTGAACTCTGGGCCTGGGCGCTGTCCCTCAGCTCTTCAGCTCAAGGCTAGCGCTCTACCACTTGAGCCACAGTGCCACCTCCGGCTTTTTTCTTTTTGCTTATATGGTGCTGAGGAATCGAACCCAGGGCCTCATGCATGCAAGGCAAGTGCTCTACCACTGAGCCACCTTCCCAGCCCCTGTGTGTTTATTTTTATAAACACTCAGTGAGAGATTGCAGGAATGAACTATGTCCTAGCTTTTCTGCTTTCCTTGTGCAAGATAAGTGGGGTCTAATACAAGTCATTTTCTGTTGCCGTCCTTTGCCATACAGTTCATTCTTGAGGAGCGGCAGGCCCTCTTTGCTTTGTTGCTCTCCCCACACCCTCCTGGGATTGTTCACTCACAGTTTGAAGGCCACGGGACAGTTCAGAGGAGGGCTCCTGTCCCTGCCTCCAGAGGTATAGCCACGGTCTATACGGACGTCCATGCCTATGTGGTCTGTCCATTAAACTGATGAACCCATTTGGCGCGTAAGGGACCACTCTTGGGTCATACACCCTGCAAGTCTGACAAATGCGTGTCCTAGTGAGTAGTCCCCCACACGAATGTCTTCACCCTTCTCTGGTCCCCTGGCAACCTCCAGCCTACTTCCTCCGTAAGTTGAATCTTTCTAGAATCCCATGATTAAAACTGTACAGTATGTGGACTTTTAGATTGGCTTATTTAAAAATTTTTTTAACAATGCATTTACAGTCACTATAGGTTTTCTTTTGGCTTGATATTTCATTTATTTACTTATTTATATATTTGTGTGTGCCAATCCTGTGTGTGTACACAGGGCCTGGGCACTGTCCCTGAGCATTTTTGCTAAAGGCTAGCACTCTACTACTTTATTCACAGTTTTCCTTTCAGCTTTTGGGTAGTTAAGTGGAAATAAGAGTCTCATAGATTTTCCTTCCCAGGCTGGCTTGGAACCAAGATCCTGAGATCTCAGCCTCCTGAGTAGCAAGGATTACAGGCCTGAGCCACCAATGTCCAGCTAGTTCATTTTTTTTCCCTGAATAATAATTCACTCTTTGGCTGGAATTGATCCACTCACCCACCAAAGAGCATTTCATTTTCACAGCCCTATGGCTTTGTGACATAATGAAAATCCATTACGAGAAAAATACACAAATTAAGAGCCCTAGGGGCTGGGAAGGTGGCTCAGTGGTAGAGTGCTTGCCTTGCATGCATGAGGCCCTGGGTTTGATTCCTCAGCACCACATAAGCAAAAAAAAAAAAGCCGGAGGTGGCACTGTGGCTCAAGTGGTAGAGTGCTAGCCTTGCGGTGAGGAGCTGAGGGACAGCGCCCAGACCCAGAGTTCAGGCCCCGCGACCAGACCTCCCCCCCGCCCCAAAAAAAAGAAAAGTCCTAATTTTTTCAGATTCAACTGATATAAAATTGTATTAATCAGGGAAAGAACAATAGGAGCAAAAAAGTGAACAGCTGTCAGTTGTGTATTGAAAATAGTGAGTATGTGTTAAAGTGAGTTAGAATAGTGAATTATGTGGACTGTCGAATATTAGTCCAGTTTTGTATTCCTATAATAACTCACTGGTTATGTAGGGTATAATATTTTAAAATACATGTGGAATTCAGTTTGCTAACAATACAAACTTTAGAAGATCTGCTCAGTTTGGCACAGTGACTTCCAAACCTGATCAGAATCAAGTGGCAAACTTGAAAAGTTCGAATTCTCAAGTCTTGACCTCATAGTGATTGAAGGTGGAGTCCTTTCTGACAGCCTGTATGTGACATGCATGAGCTTAGTGAGTCCTAGTATGCACACCTGTAATCTGGCGCTGAGGGGGAAAGTAGACAGAGATGGGAGTAAGTGAACGCCCGCTCCTCAGAAGAACACTGCTGACTAGGTGGTGTTCGGTAAACTGAGGTTTTGCTGGCCATTTTAAGAAAGCCTTCAAAAATAACCATAACCCAGTTTGAAGAATGGTATAAAAGTTACTGTGTGAAAGAAGTGTAAAGATGATTGGTTCCCCAAGCAGAAGAGATGATGGGGTCAGAAACGGGGAGTATGGGTTGCAGCTCTGTGGTGTAGATGTCTCTTTTCCATGTGGAGGAATTTGGTCCTTCTAGTCTTTTTTTGTTTCTGGACGCTGTCCCTGAACCTCTCTGTGCTCAAGGCTAGCGCTCTTACCACTTGAACCATAGCACCACTTCTAGTTTTTCTGAGTTTATTGGAGATAAGAGTCACAATTGACTTTCCTGTCCTTGGCTGGCTTTGAACCATGATCCTAAGATCTCAGCCTCTTGAATAGCTAGGATTATAGGTGTGAGCCACCAGTGCCGGGCTCCTTCTAGTCTTAAATCAGAGGATTTCAAATAAAACAATGTGGTCAGAATAATATTTTAGGATAGCACTCTGGAGCTTAAGACAGAAGAGACTGAGAAGTTTGTCCCTGTAACCAAGAGGTGTCTGATAAACCAAGTAAGTAGCAGTAATTGGAAACTAAGAGGGACTGCAGACACTTGAGGTTAGGTTAAATCCATGGGGTCTAGCCATTAATTTTCTGTAAATTGGGAGATTCATGTCCTAGGCATTTGAGGGGTTTATTTTTACCCAGTTAGTAAAAAGAAGGCAGGATGAGAGGATATAGTTACTTACCATTTTTCTCTCTTCAGTCTACCAGTCCTAGCCATGCCGTGGTAGCCAACGTGCAGCATGTCTTACATCTCATGAAGCAGCACAGCAAAGTGCTGTGCAATGATCGGGTGATCAACAGCGTTCCTCTGGCAAAGCAAGTGTCTTCGAGGGGTTGTAAGAGTAAGAAGTTGATGGCGCCACCCTCCTCCAGCAGCATCAGTGAAGAGCTATCTGAAGTCTTACAGACTTTGCAGGATGAATTTGGGCAAATGAGCTTGTGAGTTTCCTTTTAAAATTACATTTAGTGCTAGTTTCTCGGTGTATTTTAGCTTCTTGGTAATGATCCTACTTTTTTGGAACAATTTTGACCATAATTCTTTTTTTTTTTTTTTTTGGTCAGTCATGGGGCTTGAACTCTGGGCTTGGGTGCTGTCCCTCAGCTCTTCAGCTCAAGGCGAGCACTCTACCACTTGAGCTACAGCGCCACTCCTGGTTTTCTGTGGTTTATTGGAGATAAGAGTCTCACGGACTTTCCTTGCCTGGGCTGGCTTTGAACCGTGATCCTCAGATCTCAGCCTCCTCAGTAGCTAGGATTACAGGCGTGAGCCACCGGCGCCCGGCTTTGACCATAATTCTTGACTGGCCTTAAAAATGTAAAATATGTCTTTTCTAATAGTTTTATTTCTTTGAGAGCTTTTACATATTTAAGTAAACTGCACTCATGAGTTAGGATACCACATTTGAAAACCAGTATTTTCTAGATTTTGCCTTTTACACATGTAATATTCTTATGGGTGAAATTTGAATATAAATACTTGTTTTTCTTGAAACTTGTAAAACTACCATTTTTTTTAACACCAAAGAAAGCCATGTAGTGGGGGTCAGAATAAACCACACCTGCTTTTGATCTGTGTATAGTGATCACCAGCAGCTTATAAAACTCGTCCAGGAGTCACCAACTGTGGAGTTGAAAGACAACTTAGAGTGTGAGCTGGAGGCTCTCGTGGGGAGAATGGAAGCAAAAGCCAGCCAGATAACTAAAGTTCGAAAATACCAAGCCCAGGTAATTGTGCTGCTTCATTCAATTTTCTGTTGACCTTTTTTTCAAAAATATTGTTGGCAACAAGTGTCATAGATAACAAACTATTTTTAACTTGAGAAGAATTTAAACACTTGATTTTATCCAAATCAAATACCATAAAATATATCTAGAAGTTTTCTGTCTCCAAAAGAGAAAGTCAAGTGTAACTAAACCAAGTTACTGTACATGTTGCTTGTTATGTGAAGCAGGTATTTTTTACATCTAGATGCACTGATGAAGTCCACCTAAGAGTTTTCACCGGGAAAGAAACACCATAACCCACCTGTTCATTTGGGTTACTACAGTTGTTGGTATTATGGGCCTAGGGCTAGCCACAGGCAGGATTTACTTGAAAAGTCTCATTTTTAAGTCCCCTCCTGGCATGGAATGTGCCCACTTTCCCACACACCAGGGAAAATCCAACTAGGCTGGCTTTGGTGATCCGATATGAAGTATGTTCTGGAAATAGAGGTAAAAATGGAGAGAGAAGGGGTCTTGGAAAGGGTTGTGATACACTTTTCCCAAGACATGCCACCTCCCTCTAATGGTAGAGCTAGGGTACAAGCTTCGTTCTTTTTTGTCTCTTTGGGGAAAGGTATATGTTCCAAATTTGTGTTTAAAAAGGTGTCTCATTTTTGCCTACTCCATGAGTTTTCTAGTAATGATTCTATTTTGAATTGAGGCCTTTATGCTAATAAACCTTGAAAAATGTTCATCTGAATGTGTTAGTTTGGGAGAGGATTATTTTTTAAATACTGATGCCATCGGGGCCTGTAATCCTAGTACCTGTGGTGGCCATGTGGCAAGACTGTCTCAGAAACAAAATGTACTAGTCTCAGAAGAAAAGATTTTCATTACATTCTCCTTTTTTCCTGCCTTGGTTATTTGGTATAGCTGCAGAAACAGAAGACGGATAAGCAGAAGAAGGAATCCAAAGCTAACAGAAAGACTCTGGAAGAAGAAGGAAACAGCAGCAACCGTTCCCCCGGAGTCACAGGGACCACAAGTAAGAAGCATTTTGCCAAACTGAGACCTGGAGAAAAAAGCAGGAAAAATCTGCAGTTATTGAAGGACATGCAAACCATACAGAATTCATTACAAAGCAATAATCTGTGTTGGGATTACTGATTAGTACCAGGTCGTAAATTTTATTCAGATAATGTGTACCTCATCTATCAGATGTTGACAGTTTACTTTCCAGGGTTCTCACTTGCCAGATTTGGGATGAATAACAGGTATTAAAAGGGCCTGGAGCTTCATATGCAGGCTTCTTGTGTTACTCAGCATAACTAAATGTTAAAACCATTTAAATGAAAAGCCAGGAAAGCCACTGTTTCTTTGAGATGAATTTGCTGTACTGATATTTTGCACTTTGTAAACAAATGACCAATTTTTTTACTTGTGGATGTGATTTTTTTAAAACTAGATCTTTGTACATACAAATTATGTTTAAATTTTCAAAATGTGAGGCTGTTCTGTAGGCAGTGTGTCCTTGAAAAGTCTCATTTTTAAATCTTCTCTGGGCATGATGTACCCACTTTCTTTTACTACCTGTAATGGAGGATTTTTATATTTAAATATTTATATATTTAAGATATTTGGTCTTGCTTTTTTGATAGCTCAGACATTAATCACTATTAGACTTGTGTTACTTTTTAATCCACTGAACGTTTTTAAAGCCCTGATCGTTTTACGTCATTGCTTATAAAAAGTACAGAATCATTTAAGTAAAGATAAACTAATGAAATGAGATTTTGAGATAGAATAAGGGAAGATGTAAAGCTCCAGTGTTTGCAGTTTGTAATTATGCTATTCAAGGCATTGTGGTTTTTAATCTCAGTGAACCTTTGAGTTTTTGGTATGCACTGTGAACTCTATACACACAGTTGTCAATTGTGTTAATACAAATTAGATGAAGATATGTTAACTTTTTATAAATTTGCCATTGAAGTAAAAAAGCTTTTTAAAAAGGAAATAGTGAAATTTTCCTTAACAGCCTCTTTAACAAAGGCTTTGTTGTAAATTCTCAAGGATGTTTTTTCTAAAAAGGGTACTTGATAAGCCTGAGAACATGGTATCCAATAAATTATGTGCATTCTTATTCTTACGTAGAAGCTAAGCTGAACAAGCGTGAACTGTCTGGTGGTGTGTAATAAGACTGAGAGTCACATACCACAGGAACTGCTTTGATGATTCCCTTTCCTGGAGCTAACTTGACATAGAAGCTAAAGATTATCTAAAGACAGCCAGTGTGAATTATTCCAGGTACTGGACAGTAGGTTTGTTCAAGACTCCTGAATTAATTCAAATTAAATAAATCCTTAAGAAATACTAATTTAATGTCCTTAGATTTTGAGATATTTGTGCATCTCCTGAAACTGTATGTCAACTTTTGCTTGTGTGTGCAGTTTTCTGATGGGGTTTGCAACACCACTGAATTGACAAGTGAGACCCAATGGAGGTGAGAAACTGCTCTGGTGATATGGTAAATATTTCTTCTGTCTCAACCACCATTTCAACCATTAAACTTCTATTACCTACTTATTTGAATTTCAGGTCATTCATATGCATAACTGTGTAATTAGGACAACAGTTAATTGAACAGTGTTAAATCTCTTCCTAATTCCTCAACTAGGATTCAAACTTTAAGCACTTCAGCTTTTGACACTCAGGTAAGAACTGAAAAAGAAAGTACTACTTCAGTTTTCTTTGGGAGTTTGTAATAGAACATGGCTTTATTTCACCTGTAAAATACTTCTGTGCAATATGCCAGCATCTATTTTTACAGGCTAGTGGTCGATACCTGAATTGTTTATCTCAGTGGTATGATGAAGGAAAGCAGTGTAGCCTGGACAGGACTGTGGGGTAGAGAGGATGCCTAAACTTGAAAGAATTGAATTCAAGGAAGAACAGTTGGTCCAAGTCAGAAAGAATGAACAAAAGAGGGAGGGGGGAGGGGGGCTGGGAGAGGAAGGGGGCAGTGTCTGTAGTTTATATGGGACAATAGATGGCCTGTGAGAGTTGTAAGTATGCAGATGAGAACAGGGAAGTGAGGCACACGGTTTCAGCTTGATGCCTCTGGGCTGTAAATTCTGTAGGGCTGATGACAAGGAGCATATCTGCGCAGCCAGAACTTGTTCATGCACACTGCAGCCCTAGTAGGCAACGTGGCTGTCTCTTGCATGGAGCTGCTCTGTACTTGGCTCCTCTTCTGCATGTGCATACTCCTAGAGGTATGGGAAATCACAGGAAAGCTTTGAAGAATGGCATTTTCACACTGACCCTAGTTTTTAGGTGGAAACTGAATGTAAGTATGTTGAGGTGTGAGAGGCTACAAATAGCACCTATCTGTAGTAAGGTTGGTTTTACTGGGATTTTCTCATACATGCACACAGGAATTTTGACATTTTGATCTTTTATCATTCGTCTGTGTCAAAAGATGAGTAGTGGAATACATAAGTTGTTTTTAAATATTTGCAGTACAATAATAACAAATTTCACACAACAACCAAGTCATTTGGTACTACCAAGTATACTTATAATACTGACAACAGTAAATTAATGATTGAAAAAAATAGTGGATTTTTATTTGATTTGGGTATTAGAGGACAAATCTGCTGAAAGCGAGCATTTCCATTTGAAAATGCACTTAATTATTTTCAAGTAACGTTTCTGCAAAAGGTAACTTTGGACATTGACAATGTATGAAATTTCTTTCCTTTGTTACAGTACGTTACATATGGCTCTTAATACAGAGTCACGTTTATATTTATATACCAGCACCGAACTTATAGGTGAATAGTAAAGCAAGATTTTTTTTCTACTGGCCTTGATATTTAATTCTTTACATGCATTGTGTTCTTTGGTAGACTTTTATCACTCAGTATAATTAGGAAAAAATAGTAAAATATTATGTGAAAATTTGAGCATAGTGTTTCTTACCATAAGCTATCTATACAGACTTCAGAAAAGTCAATCTTAGTAGCATATTACAGTGTGGAGAAACTGCACAAATGGGTGGCTGCCACTTCCTCCCTGAAGCATCTCTTTATAAAGCGTCATTTTGAAACACCCTGCTTTTTATTTTAGTAGGATATAATGCCAGCAGTAATTTTTTTACTACTTACACTATAAGGAAAACTGGAGAAAGAGTGTTACTTGATTTTGATCTGTTGTAGACTGAGGGCCCTATATTAGATGATTTCATGTAACGTTCCTTTGTAGCTTGCTTTATCCCATTTTGATCTTCAGATGTCGAGGTAAAGGACAGATCCGTTGCACACTTCTGTACAGGTAAATATAAAGCATCTGGACTTCCCACCGCCCCCCAGACAGGCCACAGCGTGGCCCTACACTGAGTTTGCCGTGGTGAGGCTCTGCCCTTCTTACACAACTGTCTGGACAGGAGTGGCACACTGTGCAGGGGAACCGCCCCTCTCTGAGGAGGAAGTTGACCGGTTGGAAATCTCTCTCTGTAGTTCCTCTACTTTTTTCTGAAGCTCTGCTCGTTTTGCAAGAAGTTCCTTGTATCTGTTATGAATAGGTTCCTACAAGTGCAAAACATACATGCAATGAGTGTTCTTCAGTAGTTACCAATGCAATCAGCGTTCAAAATTAAGTTCAGGTTCAACTGTATCTCCACCCGGCTTTTTCATTAGCTGTTCTTCAGACAGCAAGCCACAAAGTAGAAATTTGCCTCAAGTTAGGTCAGGACAAAACCCAGACAATGACCGCTCCACTGTACTACACACCTGTGAATGAGGCAGTCAGTGTGTGTGGCTCTTTCCTCCTCCAATCTGGCTGTGTAGCTGGGATGACAAGCACAAACCTCACCCAGCCTCTTGAGGTGGGGTCTCCTCAATCTCAGCCTCCCTTTAGTAGCCAGGATGACTCATTACCACAACTACTATTGATTGAGGTGAAATCTCAAAAACTTTCAAACTACTCATCTCTGCATAGCTACCTTTCTAGTTGCCTAGGATCACAGGCATGAGCCACTGGGAAGTTATAAAGTATGCAAGATGAGCTCCTCCCCGCTCCCTACATCCATCCCAGCACACCTGGGGCTTCATCCTCGGGTTCCACCGTATGTAGTACCCTACCCAGAGCTCTAGATGGCGCATGCTGGCCACTGGGTAGAGGACGTGAGTAGAGTAGCCCCCATAGAGGGGGTTGGTGAAGTCTTCTAGCTGGCTGTTGATGTAAGACCACAATGACACGGTCCTTTTAGGTAGATTCTGTAGGAAGGAAACATAAGTACAGATTCCTCTACCACAAGCTGTTTAAACATGGAATTTATAGAGGCATTCTGTGGTTGTCAGGAGGAAGAACGGACTTGGACAGTAACTTTCTTTAAAATACGAGCACCTCCAGGCATGGAACATTTTATTTCCTGGCCAGACATTGAAAGTGTAACAGTACTTTCAGAGTATTTCTGCAAGTGCTCCAATATTGAGCCACAATGCCACCCGTGCTTTAAAAAAGAAGTTAGGTAGGATCCCGAGGCTACCCTCAAACCTGTAAATCATCCTGCCTCAGTCTCTGGGATTCCAAGTGTGGCACACCTGCCTCTGTCACTTCAGGATTTGAGTCTTGTACAGTACTCATCTACAACTTTAAACAAAATCCCTGATTTATATGCAGGCGGTATTTTGGGAGTTGAGCTGTCCATTGAAATGAGTATTTTCTACAGCTCCTTTGAAGGATTTCCATTCTACATGAATAATGGGACAATGGTATTTCTAAGATCCCACATATCTCATTTCTCTTTAGCAGGGACGCCATCTCCTTCAGAATTCAGCCAGTGGTTGGCTGGCACCTTTGGCAGTATGACAGAGGTGCTTCAAAACAGACCAGGCCCACGTCTAGAAAGGAAACAAGCATATTACAACTTGTAAGATGAAGTAGTACCTAAACGAAACACCAGAAGAGGGGTCCTTTGGTTTAAGTCTGAGTGCATTCTTGGAGGGCAAGTACAGAAAGGAGTAAGGCTGGTTCATACGTCACCTCTTTTCCTCTTTGCTGTTCACTGTTACAGAGGAATGTCCCAAATAAACAGCTGTACAGGTGGTCCAAAATGGTAATGAGGAAATATTCATTGAACTCAAAGGCAGTGGGGAACTGCAAGTTGAACAGCACACACACATTAAAAAACAAAAATCACATCCCTATAAGGATAGACCCTCAGTAATAAGAAAAAAACCACACTCAAGATTACGTATTTAACCATTATGGCCTGGGCTTGGTTTGTGGTCCAGCAATCTCTTGCTTTTCTGAGATAATCTTTCCTATTTGAGTGGCTGGGGGAAGTCTCTCCCAAACTTGCTGAGTCTTGACTTGGGTAGACTACTATTATTGTACAACATTTTTTTTGGGGGGGGGGTAACTGAAGAACTGTACTCTTCCCCCCCCCCCCCAAGGCAAAGGGCTTCATCTCAAAACTGACCAGAAGCTTCTTATACTAAGAGGGTTATGAGAAAGAACTCCATGAATGTCAAGATTACTGGTTGAGAAAAGTTGTAACCTTAATAGTAGAGGACAGCATATATAACATATAACAGCAGTGAGGTGATCTAACAGACTTCTTAAAGGGCAATTTAACAGGCCCTCAGTTTCCAGGTGGCACTCCACAGCTGAATGAGAAACTGCTGTAAAAAACAGCTAGTTCTATGTGCCGTCACTTCCTAGCATGCTTTTAAGTTTTTCATCATCTTGACAAAACTGTTAGCCTAATTATGGAAAGGTAGCTTTACCAGTGAACATCTCCTCACAGAGAAAACAGTAACAGAGCACTGCTTTTAGAACATTAAAATTACCAAGGGTAAAAGTACACAAATCTGATGCCTTCTCCAAGGCAAAACAACTCCTGCCAAGTAAATGATACAATTCTGCTATAGTTAAACAGGACAACAGTCAGCCAAAAGTGGACCCTATTATTTGGGGGGCCAATACCCAAAGTCTGATAGGATTCATGTAGCTCATATTTCAAAGTAGAACTTCAAACCTACTATAGGAAATAGCAAACATGGCTAAACTTATAAATATGCAGCACCCCCCCCTTCCCTCTGAAGCCCAATACATCAAAGGCATAGTTTATAGAATTGCATCCACACATTGGATAGATAACTAGCAGGCATTTATATAGGGGATATTTTTTACCCCTCTCCATAACATACCATTCTTCCAAGTGTTTTTCAGTTACTTCTATTGGTCCTTGTTCAGATAAACCTACTTATTACAAAGCTTTTGGAAAAACAATAGTGTTTGTCATGTACCATGTTTCTATCCAATTTCCTTAAGATGGATAAAATCACGCAACTAAGCTAACTTCTCTTAGTAATAAAGAGATCATTCTCTAAAATTGAGCATATCCATATTAATGTAGCATTAGTTCAAAGTGGAGAAAGTTATATTGCAAACCAGTGCCCCACAAAAGAAATGCAGGAAGTCACCTGTCTTGTCACTTGCCAGACACAGTCAATAAACTGGAGGAAAACAGGCGATCTGTCTGCATCTGCGTGGTTCTTATCTCCATGGCCAA